AAATGACAATCTCTGCTAGAGCAGGTCGACATTCACTTTGCTGCTCAAAAGATGGATGTTTTCTGGCACGTAGGTTTGAATCTGGGTTCTCCTTCTTCACTAAAGCATCATCCTACCTTTTGGAATCACTCACAGCTGAAAGTATTGTAACCTGACAGACCAATTACTAGTCCTGGAGCCACAGAGTGATGGATGTCATCATCTTACTCAGTCACAGACACTACTACCTATCACTGATGGAAGACTCAATGTATCCGAGCACCTTGTTTGATGTGCACCATTTGTAGATAAAAGATCTGGTAGCACACAACCATTAGAGTAAATGTTCTTTTAACATCATCATAATAAGACCTGTGTGGTATGGGTTTGGGGTTTCACTCACTTTCACTCTGCATAGTTGAGTAGAGTGCTGTCTTTTCATCAGATTGCTGATCCCAACTTCTATCCTCTTTACAGTAAATTGCACAACTGTCATTTAAGATAAAGTATTTAATGCTGCTACTGGACATTACATCATATAGTATAATTCTTTTAACACTCGCAAACCACTTAAAATTCAGCACGTGGTAAAATCTTAAAATCATAGCTAACTAAAGCTAGCTAAAGAATTAAAGGTCAGTACTCTCTTTGTTAACATCTGTTCTTTTTGTCCCAGTTACGTGAGCTATTAAAGATAGAAACGTAGCTCTGGCAGAATAAGATATTTTTATTTCAAGTTTAATTCACATGCATGGTGCAGATGCACTGTGAGATGAGAGAGCACTCCAGTATATCCTCACCCAAGGGCACACAGCTCTCCATGGGATATTGTTTCCCTTGTGTTCAGCTCTCAGTAAGCATCACCCCTCACATACCCATTGCTACCCTTTGCTTTTACCGGTCAGCATATATGTCAGTATTAATCAAGTATGTTTCTAAAACTGAGATACATACAACAATGATATTTCTCACATAACTCATAACACTGTAAGTAATAGTTTGGACTCCGGGTCCCAGAATGGACCATCAATCAACTGAACTTTCATCCTAAGATGCAAAGCTCAACAAACAACAGAAAAAACAGAAGTCATGATTTTCTAACTTAATTGTTATTGAGTAATGGCCAACCTCTAAGAGGTTCAACTGTAGCTGGGTTGTGAGTAATGGATACGAGCTGTAGATTGGCTTAATACAAGAGTGATTTAATAAAACACAGCAGACCTAGCACTGTGGCCTGGGGAGCTCTGTGTTTATGGGTACAGGAGGAGAAAACATACAAGAGGATCTTGGTTCTTGAAAAGACACAAAATTGCTATCTAAGCTGACTTCTAAAGTAAACTTTTTCCTAGAGCAGTGCAAAATAGGAGAACAGATGGTGGCAGAAGCTCTTGCCCCAATCTTCTGAATGTAGGCCAATAATAAAACTGGAAAAAAAAGAATAAGACAAAAAAAGGTTCATTACCTATTGAAAATACTGAACAATAGTGCTTTAACTAAAGTGACAGTTAGATTCAAACTAAATACACAAGTCATTTTGATATTTATGAAATATATATGATCTCTTAATCACGTTTGTATTCATTCAATGTGTTCTCTCAGTTTGAATTGGCCAGATGGGCTCGAGCTGAAATACTGGGACAGATGTTTAAAGACTGTTTAGCATGAAGCATACATTTTCATTTTTTCACCACCTGGGTGTTTTCACAGATTAGCTGAACTTTTATTTCTCTGATTTACAAGCACCCATTCATAGAAATTCCACAAATGACAGACAAAAAATAATTTGGAAAGAAAGTGTGTTTGTTTATGTTTGTTTGACTGCAAACAGGCAATTGCACATTAGTGAACTATACCAGCTTTTCCGAACCTCCCAGAGGATACAGAGAGTGGTACTGAAACGGCAGCACCATGGACAGCGACAATGTCAAATTCACCTCATGCTCACTTTCTGGAAAGTTGTGTGGAAACATATACACATATATATTTGGGACAAAGAAAAAAGCTGCTAAACAGACAGTATGCAACCCATTTCATTAATAACAAAATAATCTAACTCTAAATGTGTCTCAAGTTATGCAAGTATTGTATTAGTACTCAGTGCCTAGTGTATTCAAACTTAAATTGTAGTGAAACCACTAGGTGAAATGACAGTAAAAATGTTCTCAAGAAATGCTTTAACAGATTCAAATTTTACCTTTCATGTATTATCAGATAGTATAGATTTCCTATTACCTATATAGACTCGTTTGACAAGTCGAGAAAAAACAGTCCCAAAACTTGGCTACCTGCACAGTGTGACTGTAAAAGCTAATCAATTCATCCAGTAAAATGACTAAGTGGGTGCCTAAGAACATTTATTACAACTTTTAATGCCCTACATTAAACATTGTGCATATGCTTCCATCACAAAAGTAATATTTTTTATACGGCCTTGACTCAAATGATTGGCTGTAATTTGTTCCTAGTCCTGCTTATATCACTGAGAATCAACAGTCCAGTCTGCCAGTCTGTGTTTTAGACCACCAGATATTTTGGTTCTGTCTGCAACTCTCATCAAGCCCCCATAGAAAACTGTGGGCAGTTGATTCCAGCACACAAGCTCAGAAGACTGAATTGATGCTACATAGTAGCTCAGCCTGAAGAAGAACAAGAGCTTATTTTAAGAAAACAAGTCAAGCCACTAAAAGCTACTGTATGTATTTTTCTCCTAAGTTGGTGTACCAATGCAGTACTTAAAAAACAGTGAATACTGGACCAAACTAAAGGCACCACTGAAAACTGGATTTTATATGTATGTGATTCACAGGGATGACACATCAGTGCTACAGTGACGACAAGCCTGAACCATCTAAACTGAGCACTAGTTTAAATCTTTAATTCAAGTCGGCCTGCTAAGAAAACACTTCCTGCCTGAGCTCTAGACTTGTTGCTTTGCAACATCTTCTCTGCACAGTTTTAGAAAAATATGATTGGATGATTGAAAGACTTCAGCCCACATTTGCCAAATATAAATATAATCAGGATTTCCATCATCACCTGAATCCATCATCATCCTCTTCAGCACCATAGACAGCGACTTTAAGGAGCTCTTGGCAGTCATATACCTGAACCGTTTTTCAGTCATTTAGACTGAATGGACCTCTGCTTGGGTTGAAGCTGGGTCATCAACACTATGACGTCATCAAACTACATGTATTATGAACTGTTAAGGTGTGATTTTGTAATTTGTGTGTTGCCCTTGCAGGTGTAACAAAACTAACAGGAGAGTGGGGGGAATGCCAATCAAATACAGTCTGTTCCCTCCCACACAGTCCTTTGAAAAGGTTTCAGGTAACAAATGGAAAACAGTGTACTATAGGTGTATGTAAAGGGCCTTGGATGGATTTGTTTGGTAAATCTGTGTATAACTTGTATAGCATGTTCACAGAAATATTCTTTAAAAACATTCAGAAGGAGGCACAGAACATTTCTGAAACTGAAACAGATTTTTCAACATGTTACTATAAGCTGAGGGAGGGTGTTTAGATCTCTGATGACCAGATGATTCATGCATAAATGCTACAGATGGTAGTTTAATCATTTTCATATAACAATGGACATCAAACATAAGCAGCTGGTCCTAATGTTTAACACATTATGTATGAGCTAACCTAAACTTGCCTTCAGAATAAAATACAGTATTGCCATTGCTAGTAATGTCTTTACATAAGATGTATTCTTAAGTATGTAAGCCTATATAAATGTGTATAATATGTATAATCTTAATATTTATTTAATTAATGAATCGCTATTATTATTATAAATATTAGATTAAAATAAAATTTCCATTGATTGATTTGTAATTGACTTATGTTTATGAATTATGAGTTGAAATTCAATTTTTAGGAAATAAGCATTAGCATTCTTGCTGAGAGTTAGATGAAAAGATTGATATGTCTGTCTCCTCAATGTAAAGCTAACTAACAGCCAGTTAGCTTAGCTTAGCATAAACACAGGAAACGGAGGAAACATGTAGCCTGTCTCCATCAATGGGTAACAAACCCCGCCTACTAGCAGCTATAAGGGGACCAACAAGAGTGACCAACTCACTGCTACCGGCCAAGAAATAGTCCACCACACCTGGTAAAACCATAAATTTAGTCATTTTTACACTTTTTTTGTAATGAGATATGTTAATTAGTGAGCTAGGCAAGAAAGCAAATATTTGAATATTATATTAAGTAGCCTATTCAATATCACATATATTATAAGAATATCCTTACATTTACCAGTGTGCTTAGACACATAACTACTACTACTCAGTAACCAGAAAAGTAAAACTAAAGAACAAGTTTCTGCATACCTTTTTAGTATGGTATAGTACTATATTAAAACATTGTGTGAAAATAGAGTAAAATTACATATATATGTATATTACTGGTTATAACCAGAGCTATAATAGTAGGAAACCACATAAGAAGCACCCCTTCATTGTATGTATACTGTACTTTATCAGTCTTTCCTTAAAGGATCCTGTAATGTACAGCATATTATAAGGCATACAATTCCAAATGAGCGCATATTCCGTTAATGCTCGGTGCACAAGGCTAGGACTTATCCTTACCCGTTATCCTTACCCGAGGTGGAAGGGAGCTAAACCCCCTGGGAGCAACGTCACTCCCTTTGGCATATCAACCACTGTCCGCTGCATGCGCCCAAACACACCACCACAGAGGACGTCAGGATCGCACCCATCCTCAACAGCGAAATGCTTTGCGAACTGAATGTAACTCCAGCAATCCTCCCCGATTCCGTGCGTTTCAGGGAGGCATTTACATGCTCCGGCATACAAGCAGGCTAAGGAACTCCTCGGCGAAGTGGGAAGGTCATTTGAAGTGGGAAAAGAGCGATCGCGTCGGCTATGGTCTGTGATGAAGGAAACGGCACGAAGAGCCAACATCTGTAACTTCGGGATTTACTTGTAAAGGCGCTTTTTCTTTTTTTTTTTCAACTGGAAATCGTGGGATATTCTGTGTATCAACATGCCTGTAAGAAGAGGTCACGTTGCGCCACAAAACACATTCCTTGGATTAATTATTCGGAAATTCGAGGGTCAGAGTAAGTATCTTCTTGATGTGCAATTTCTGATACGAGAGAGAGAATACTATAAAGTAAATGATTTGACAAATTAAAATGAATCTTGTGATAAAATTGCATTAAAAAAACATGTTAGGATGACTTTCTTCCTTAAAAAGACAATCAAAAGACTGAATTGTTGAGTTTTTTGTATGAAGTTCGGTGAACAGAATCATTAGTAGGTTACTTATTTTCTATACAGTGCCAGTGAACTTGATCAACTTAATTGATGATTGGTTTTATTTGTGAGGTGAAACCATGGTGCAAGTTCTGGGGGAAGCTGTGCCACAACACGCAAGTACACAGTGCATACTTTTTTTTTCTTTTTTCCTGCAGACCGCAAATTCTTGATAGCCAATGCCAGGGTGGAGAATTGTGCAATCATATACTGCAACGATGGCTTTTGTGAGATGACGGGCTTCTCGAGACCGGACATCATGCAGAAGCCATGCACCTGTGACTTCCTCCACGGTGACCTGACCGACAAAGAGGCCATCAGCCAGGTGTCTCAGGCTGTGCTTGGGTCCGAGGAGCGCAAGTTGGAGATCACCTACTATCGGAAGGATGGTGAGTCAGTGTCCTGGCACTAAAGTGTGGCTTTCACAGCAACTCCTGGAAGCCCAGAAGGCTCTTTTTTTGCTCCTGAAAAAGCACCTTCTGCAGCTCTTCACTATGTCCACTTCTTAATGTGGCCTGTCAGTCTGTTACTAACCAGCCTGAGTCAGTTACAAGATGTGCTTCAGACTTTAACCCTGATAGAGGAAAACAGAAAGAGCAGTCAAGATTATGCAGGTATTGATGTGAAAGTAAAGAGATCCACATAACTTTGATCCACCTCATGCATCCAGAGGGGTTTGAATAAAGATAAGATAGTCATAAGATAGTCCAAAACAAAAATATTAGAAAAACACGTTTCTCCATTTCATATCCACATCTAAACAATAACACATTGGGAAATGGTTGTGGTGGTGTGGTGTGAAAATTCTATCATACTAATGTCATAATGTTTGATTTTATACATTACAAAGGAGGTATAATAGTCAATGTGACAGTCTCCTTGTGAAAACATATTGAAACACAGTGAATGTAGATTCTTTTTGCCACCTTCCTTGACTCATAGCATCATGTGCCTGGTGTGGCACAGAAGAAAAAGTGTGGTTGCCAAAATTATGCTGTGCCCCTCTTCTTAGTTTTGATTTTAACACAGAAATAGAAACAGCAATAGGTGCTATGTCGGTTGATAACATGATGCAGTTTTTGTGTTTTGATGGACAGAATGAGAGATGGTGGTGTAGAGACAGAGCTCACATGCTGTCCTTTTAAAGTTTATTATGCTTTATGTCTTATGGCTTTACACTTGTCAAATAAAATACACTTGCTGTGTATATGAAGATCCATGATTCATTCAGCCATTCTGTGGTTTGCAGCAAAGGTGTACAGCAGATTTAGTAGACGGTGGATCAATCCGCTTATCTGTAAAATTGCTGTACATGTGATAGGCTACAGCTTTGCCAGCTTTGCATAAAAATGCTCTCCTTTTAATGCTGGACCGGTGTTTGTCATTCATTTTTGGCCAATCCTATGTCCTGGTATGAATGGTGCACTGCAGAGACAGCAATCCTGAGTCAGAGGGAATTAATACGATGTTACCGCTCAGTGGCATAAATCCCCGGATTGACCACCTCCTGCCATTCTCACATGAGCTTTTTATGGTCAGCATGACATAGCTGTACAGAGTCAAGCCAACAGTACTCCTCTTACAGAACAGCACAAGAACATGCTTTATTATATTCATTTTGTGCCAGAGGCCAACATTGGTGTGATATAGTTGCTTTGAATTCCTTTTATTTACTCTGTAATAACTTCCAAGGCATGTACAGAAGCAACAGCAGTATATGAGGAGTCCCTACTGGAAAAAAAGAGACGTGATGTTTTATTTAATCATAAGGAGCCAGGGCTTTAATTTTTCATTGTGAGTTTGATTAGATTCTAGGCCATGGATACATGTTTAATCTACCATCAGCAGCCATCAGCCAAGGCTGGGGTTTTTTTTTTTACTTTGTTTTTTTGCTAATCAGGAAGAAACCAAGAGCCAGCTGCTACACTGTTAAAATAGATTGTTT